ACTTTTTTCCAGTGATTTCCCGCAATTGGGTTACATGGATATTATTAAAATTCAATAGAAGGATTAAACAAACCATTGTTCTACTTTAATCCTCTTATTTGTGAAGTCATTAAAGCTCTTTAGATATTTTTCTTACATTCTTTATTCTCTTTTATTAAATACTCATTAGGTTGTGATATTTTATGCTTAATATAATTCTGTATTGTGTACTGGAGATTGGCGCTTGGTAGACAGGTCTTAATGTTCAGCTACTGTAGACCTAGAATATGGGTTCCAGGTGTTTGATTGATGGGTTAATCTGGTGCCAGTCTAGGCTAATGCATTGCACTTTTGTAAAATTAGAAGGAGGAAACTAAAGTCAACTCTAGATCAAGTTTCTTGTTCTTATAGAAAGTTATTTTTGTTTTCAACTTTGTTCTGTAAGAAATAAAATGCTCATGTGGAAATGAGTCTGTTTTTACAGTACCTTGTTTATTACAAACCCACTAATAATAAGATTATAATTTTTGGACCTTTAGCACACCAGTTTCTGTAAAAATAGTGATAAATAGGGGAAAATTGTTATATATTTTATTAAAGCCACAACCATAATCCCCTAATTAAGGACATCTTCATTTATTGCAACTTTTAAATTCAGTTTCCATTGCCAAAGTAAATAAAGTACAACATTGATTAATGAAAGCATACACATAAGGAAATACATTTATTATTCAGTATTCTTTGATTGGAAAGGTTTTGCGGTTAAAGTGATTATACTTATACTGAAGAACTACTGTACAAAAATGTGTGTGGCAGAGATTTCCTATTTTGGCAGACGCAGTTGTTTGATATACATCAATTACATGGCACAAATTTCAATGGTGTGGTTTGGTTTATTCAGTGCAAAATACAGATTTTTTTACATTAGGAAGGCTTTCTAGTGTGCAAAGTTCTGCAAAGTCCATTCTTGGATTTAGCCTTGGGAGAATTAACCAGTAGCCAGACTTGTAGGCTGGAAGAATTTGCCCTGGAAACACATTTCAATAACTGCCAAAGTCAATTTCATCATGCAAGGAAGTTCATGAAACACAAGCAATAACCTCACATCATTACTTCCCTCATATCAATTAGGCTTCTGATACTAAACATAAACCTTTACTTGGTTATTATTTTACCATAAGATCATTCAGTTGCTTACAGTATATATAGAAATAATTTCAAGGTTAATTTTTTTATCAACTCTTCTGTCTGGAGTGATAATTAAGAATGGTGATGGTGTTTCTAGTACTTTAAAAAAAAGTTGGACTGTCAGTCACTCAAAACAAAAACATCTTTAAAATATGAAATTAAAATATGAATTGCTTATTTAAATAAAGTGGCGGATTCAAAGGGGGCGGGGGAAGCCGCAATTGTTAAAATATTTTTTTAATGGAGAAAATTATATTGAAATTTGAAGTCTGAGAGTGCAATTTCCAGCCATCTAGAGGTGCCATAATCTAACAATTTCATATCTCAAACCCAACCATGGTGGGACTGAGGTGGTATAGATCCTCCATCTGTGAAAGTTCCCCCACTATTTTGAATTCCTGAATCCGCCACTGGTGTAGCAAAAGTTTGCCTACCAAGTCCATCAGAAACTATTAAGGAATACATTAATCTGACCAAGTTAATCTACAGTACACACTTAGAAATAGAAATCAACATAATTCAAAATCCTCTAGACAATGCTTCTCTCAGGCTTGTTGTCATCTCTTTAAAATCAGAGTCCAGAATGGTAGAAGGTGGTACTGTATATCAAATTATATATGCAGCTCTGGTGAACATTGTTTTCCTGATTTTAGACCTAGACTTGGGACTTATTATCATGGCAGTATTATTGTTCTCGGCCGGGTGAATAGAAGCAGGAAATCTAGAGTAAGCCATCAAAATCACTCTTGTGATCAATATACCACGTTGTGACTTGGTTGTGACTAGACATGAAAAAAACAGGGAAAAAAAACCAGAAATGCGTTGTTCTTGCTTCTTATGTTTAGATCGAGATTATTCTCTAAAAAACTGCTAAATCTTCCCACAGGTTTATGTTCACATTATTTACTTTCAATTATTGATCAATATCTGTAAATTATAAATATTATTCTTATTCTTCAGATAAGGCGAAGTTAAAAAATAATACTTTTCGTTAAAATGGGGTTTTTTTTTTATAGATTTTTCATAATGAAATCTTACCTAGGCAGGTTATGCCATTCCAACAAATGTATCTACCATAAATTAAATTTTGTTACAAAAATATAAAAAGATATTGTGGTAACAATAAAAAAGATTCTATGAAGAAAAAAAAAATTGTACCTGACCTGATTTAAAAACCAATTCTCTGTTGAATGATTTTCCTACAAAGGTTGCCCACCTAAATATGAAAGCATTTTATTTTTAGCCAACACTGAATGTAAAACTTAAACTTTTTTTTTTCTTATCCTAAAGTCAAAACCCTCCTATTGATTTCAGTTTGATTGTGATGTTGAATCGGCTGCAAACCAAGCAATAATTATAAAATCTGTCCCATTGATATATTGTTTTTACGCCATTCTTGTCACAAGCTATTCATGGAGTGCTAGATAAGATGACATTCCTTGAGTCACCTTGTAAGTGTGCCCCTGTGCTGGCAGTGATTGTTCCATTTTGATTGTGTTTTCAATAAACATCAGTGACTTCTTATTGTTCTTATGTCCCTAGCCGGTGACACGGAAAAGTGTCTTGTAATAATTCCAATTTGTCAGTGATTTTATTGAATACTGTAGTTTGTTTTTTTTTAAAATATATTCTTAGTGTTTATCTTTCGTTTCATTCTTATTTGTTCACAGCGAACACAATTACAACCATGCTACTGTTAAAATACAAAATTAAAATACAGATACATCATCATCATGTTATGATTTCACTAACTAGTAATACATTTCATCATCTTGTTCATAACAGTCTTTATATGACAATACAATAGCATAATTAAGAGTATCATTCTTAATATTTTTTTGTCTGAGTGAAGTAAATAAAAATACTGACAAACATGAAAATGATACTTTAAAAGTAACAATTAACAAAATAACAATTGCTTTAATAGCAATAACAAATTATCCCTATTAACATGCTATTGTATACAATCTGCTTATATGATAGATGCCATTATACAAATATGTTTATATAAAGCCTGGTTAAATATAAACAAAGGATACAGATTTTTTTTAAATTTTATTATGCATGGTACAACATCAAGTTAATACAGTAGATATTTTAGTTTTAAAGTTTAAATGTATAATACGTGTACTAAAATTATAAATACATGAATTAAAATGTTGATTGTAGTAATAATAAACATAGATACTATATAGTATACCGTAAAACCTCGAATTGAAGCCCAGTGGGCTTAATCTTGTGATGAAGCTCATCTCGAATTGAAGCCCCCTCTTTGGTTTCAAAAATTAGCCTCGAAAACAAACCTATGGGCTTCTTTTCAAAATAGCATTGGCTTCTTTACAAGATACAATGTGCATGAAATTCAGAAACAAAATAAATTAAAAACAAGCTTGGTTTATACATTAGGTGATTTAATGCCAGTTAAATACACTCCATAATACAGATTGATGTTACGTTGACCTTATTTATTGTTTAATTTTACAAATTCACAAAATTTACAGCATTCATTTTGAAAAGAAGCCCCCCCCCCCTGTTTACTTTGCAAAAGTAGTCTCGAAAAGAAGCCAATCTCGAAAAGTAGCTTATCTCGAAAAGAAGCCAATCCAAAGTTTGCAAAAAAAAAAAAGAAGCCCAGGGCTTCAATTCGAGGTTTTACAATATGTTTTTGTATGTAGTTGCAAGTGAGTGGTATTGACGTACAATTTTATTTCAATTTCAACTTTATTTGGTCCTTTGCAGAAAATATTCTGAGTATTTTTTATAGGATATAAAATACAAAAGGTACAGTATACATACAACTACAAAGAGAATATTTAAAAAATATTAAAATACAGTAGCTCAATGGATTTTGTCTGTATCCATTGTCTTGCGTACTTTATCCCAATTGCTTCCTAACGTTGGTGCGAACTTGTGCTCCATAATGGGTGTATTCATCGTTGTTAAAATGCTTCCGCGGGCAATCTATTCACCAGCTTCCTCTTGTCGGATCAATCTTTTCCTACACATCCTCTTTCTCAGGATACCGATTGTTTTGCCTTGCAATAAAGCAGGACATCGAGCACTCTACAAAAACATGCAGTTGTTCACTAGCTATTTTAAAACTATCTCTTTACATTACAATACCTCGTAAAATATTTATATTAAACAATGTACCAATTACCAAGAACATGTGTTATTACAATGTCGTTAGGCCGGATTACTCTGCTTTTACTGTAACTTCAATGTCAATAATTAAATGTCCTATGCCTCTTAAAATATGACTAAATAGTATTCCACATATAAATATTTTAATAATTTACTTTATGCACTCCTTAAAAATCTGTTATTGTTCTCTGGTATGAAATTAATATTTTTCTTAGTTTCATATCTTGGTAGTTTCTTCTTGTTTCTCTTGTTTATCATTCTAAGACACATTAATTCAAGTGTAAAACATTTGTTCCCATTGTTCGATTTTATTTACCATTCAATAGATGATATACTTGGTCAGCTAGAGGACACAAGTATGTCCATGACTCCATTTCCTACTGTCTTCGTATCCTAGTGTCCTTAAATGTATACTGTGCAACTCTCAGAAAATCAAATACAAATTCAATTAAGCAATTTATGCAAGTTCAACTTCAAAAGAAAAAGATCAAAACAGTACAGTCTCCTTTTTGTTTTAAATAAAACATTTTAAAATTCATTTCTATCAAATTGAAAAATAAGTAATTTTAATTTTAATTAAAGGAAAAATAATGTTAAATTAAACTTTTAATATAGTGAATATATAAAGGTATACTGTAAGAATTTGAGTATCTTAAATAACATGTACATTTTTCTCTTATTATTTGCAGACTGCCGGCCATGCAATGATTCGGAGCTGATTAGAGCATTCTGCTCGAGTGATTTTGGTAAGCCACTTGTTCCCCCATATGCGATCATATCCCTTGTGTTTAAATCCTGATGACTTCCGGCGGGCCAGAAAATTCCTAATTAATTTTTTCCAAAGCTGTACAGATTAAATTTCATTAAATTCATGTACAACACAATAGTCTCAGAACGACAAAGCTTATAATAGTAATACACCCTATGAACTCCAGATATGTTTTAAGCTCAATCTAGAATCAATGCTTACTGATGCTAGAAAAAAAAGTTCAGTGCATTTGTTTGCAATGCTACAGGCTTTAGAAGAAGGTGGTTTATTTGGTTGATTGTAAGGTGTTTTCCTAGGACACCCTACCATATAAATTAGGTCAGGGTAGCATTCATTTAAAATTCTCAAATGTACTTAAATACACCATATAATAATACTGTACTTTGGTAATGTTTGAATTGTATTGTTGTTGTTGAATTGTTTCTACCCTTTCCATGTCACTTGACAGAAAATGATTTATTGTATATTTATTTAAATCTTCACAAGTACATTTGCTGACAATATATTATATATGTAGACCAGTCCATGATTTTGATGTATTGACATTGAGGTGGGAGGGTAATGCATAGTTGTTGCAAAGGTTGTTTTAAGCATTTCTCTAGTCACTGCAAAAATGGTGCAGGACTTGTTGAATTCCAGAACAGGCTACATGAGGTGTCTAATGGCCTCGTATCTCCATGGAATTTGTGGCAAATAGAAACATTATCAAGGGTTTTCTAATAATGTTCAGCTGTTTGGGTAAATATAAGAACAGTTCTGGCTGTCAGCATGATGAATCATGCCAGGAAAATAAAAAGGACTTAATTTAATAACAACAATGCAAACATTTATATTTCAGTTGCATACTAATAATAATATAGAGGGAATGCATCAATAATGATTACTTAAGTTAATCAACAAAACTAATAAATACAATTTAAAACAATATTAAAAATTCATAAAATTAGGCCACAAGCTGTAGAAATATATGAGACAACATTTGTAATGTAGAAGCCTTTGATATGTTGAAGTGTCCATAGAATAATTTCTTGTGATATCATATTTTTCATCATTTAAAAATGCCTACAGGTCTCCTTTCAATTAAAGACCACTTTTAGGACCTGGGTTTGCATGGTCTTTAGTAGCTTTGGTCTCTAATTAGAATAATAAAGATAAAAGGTATTTGTTAATTTGAGACCACAGAAAAGTGGTCTTTAATTGAAGGAGTCTTTAACCACAGGGAGACATTAGAAGTAACGATTTGTTTAATTTTTTTGTTTTACAGTTATCAAAAGCCAAATGCGTGAAGTTGCCCACGACACCTTCTCGAAAGAGTCTTTCATAGATTTAGCCGTGAGTCATGTCTTTCGCCAGCGTGACGAAGTGTTCCGGCCGGCCAAGCACAGTCGTTACAGTGGCATTGTTGTCACCCCACTCAAGTGCGGTGTGCGACAGGGAGATGGTCATTTCCTGATGACAGGTTCCATAGTGCTCGGGAAAGCACGTCTGGGTTGTGCCCCACGGTTTCCCCAATTCAGGCGCATTGCGAAAGCAATGACAGAGAAGGGACTAAATGATTGTGACCTCTCTGCTGTTATCCTAGGATGATATATTTTCAAGAGATGATATATATTTTTGTTCAGTTAAAATTTATATCAAGCTGTTATACACTGCCTCACTGTGAAAATATTTCATGTTAATCTTCAGTACTCAGAAAACTCTTCGGTAGTTTTAATTGGCAACCTGACCATACAGTAGCACTAGCTACATAGAACATTCCAAGTTTAAATCAGTTGTTTATTGGAAATACTGTGTGTATGAATTTTTATATAGCACATGTATTCTTATCTGTTCTATGATTCATCATAAGTATTTAGCTGAATGTACTAAGAACCATATGCCAGAAAATATTCATTTTTATTATTTTTTATTAAAAAAAGTTATTCGAAAAAATATATATATATTAGTTGCAAGAAATACATAACCTAGAAATTGCTGAAATCTTTGTATATCATTGCAAATGATTTACACACGATCAAAATCACTTTTTTGTCTTCCATAAGATTCTGAACGTGTTCGTTGCTCAGGTGTAGACACCTGTTAACAATTTAAAACAAGTCCCTTATATATATAGAAACCAACATGCATAAATTCTAAACGCCCTATGATGCCAGTATTTTAGCCTTCCATTTTCTTTTATATTAGGGTTTTGGTGGTTTTTGTTAATTTGCTTAGCTTCTATAGTATCGTACCAGTTAGCGAGTACCTCCATTGTGTTACAAAAGAAAATTTCATAATATGTACTTGAATTTATAACTGGCCTCTCCATTCAGTAGGATATAGATGAGTAGTTATGCATACCTATGTGATTTCTTTAGATTTGTAAAGCGTTTTATGTTTATTATTGTAATGATGTCTTCAAAAGCTGTAATGTTTCCAGCTATTGTATTCAAAACAAATATTTTTTTCATTTTACTTAATGCAAAATTGTAATCATCCTCTTAGCATATTTTTTCTGTTGAACCAATTTTAATTTATAGTCTGTGGCAAATATAATTAAATTTATAGAAATAAAGAATCTAATTTTATTTGGAAGAAAATTGACTGAATATTATGTTTTAATTTTTTTGGTTCATTGTGGCTTATGGTACTTAATGCTGTGGTGACAATTTTTTCTGAAAGGTATTTAATTGTTGTGGTCATTTTATAGATATAAGAATTATTTATATTTTTGTATCTGGTGGTACATGATACCTAAACAGGTTGCTGTGTTTTTCGTTGCCTTTTGCTATATCAATTTCCATCCAGGGTATCATATGGCAAAAAAATGCCTGCTTGTCCATTACCTCTTCCACCCTATTACATCACACACATGTTACTAAACAAATAGAAAAATAACTTAATATTTTCCTATAGTTCTTACCCATCTAAATTTGATATTTTTATACGAGACATATGACAGCTGGTATTAGGGCATCGCATCTTTAGTGTCATTCACCTTTGACACAGTTAATTAAAATTTATATGATTAGAAAAATACTGTAGATATTAATATATTTTAACTGGTGAAATGTTTTCTCTAATGCTTTTAAAAACCTATTTTTAAAAATATCTATCTATATGGGATTTAGATAAGTTGATTCGTCTAGTAAGCCAATAATTAATCTTCTGTTATTACTATATGAGAACTGTGTGGTGGACTGCTTCCCACACTCATGTAAGTTAATTGCGTTGGGCTTATTAAATCTCATTGTCTCATTAAACTGATTACAAGTCAACACTTGCTGGAGTAATTAATCTTTGAATATTCTGCCTTCAGAAATATGAAAATGTACAGATGTGACTTGTACAAAAGTCACATTGTAATTTGTTTAGTATGTTCTTAATTATTTTGTATTACAAAATAATTGACATCTTAAATAATTTATAAACAATTAATGTGAGAAGGTTTTTATTTATACAATGAAATATCAAAGCTTTTATACCTGCCAAAGAATTTTTGTGAAATAGAATGATCTCTTCACCAACAATACCAACACAAATTTTAATACATATTCCCTCACATATTACATTGTGGCCAGACTACTTAAGAATATTATGTAATACTTAGTTATTTTTTGATGTTTATAAAGATATTTTTGGTATTTTACTGTACTGTTTTCAAAATATTGTGTTTAAAGTTGTGTTATTAATTACCAACATAATTAGCTATTATTTAAGGTGTTTTGGAAATGTTGTGTTCCTTTTACATTTAAATAATTTAAGACAAGTTAATTCCATTCTTGTGACCAAACACTAATTGTAAACTAAAATTTGTTGGTTTCTTGTTTAAATTTTGATGCTGCAATAAGGCATCAAAACAGTTGTGTTCAAAGAGTATGTTATTCTGGAGTTGTATATACTGTATATCTTTAATATTAATATTATTTTGAAGAGTATTATCTGTAAATATGCAATAAAAAAACATTAACAAATTAATCAGTTGTTGTTTGTTGTTTATTATTTGTTGTATACAAATTGACTTAAGGTATCGGACTGTTTATCATTTTTCAAGAACAAAACATACTCTTCGCAGAAATGTCGGAGAATTATCCATAATTCGCAGCGTCATTGTGCTGAATTACATATGGGCGTGGTCTGTGATTACCTAGCGATGCTTAGTATGTTTACATCATTCAGGGGGTGAAATGAACCATTTTCTTAAAGTGCACACAAGCCTGATATCCTTGTAACAACTGTTAATTTAAAAACGACGCATAATGTAAAAAAAAATTGGTTAACGCATAATGTAAAAAGGTTTGACGCTTAATGTAAAAAAATAACGCATAATGTAAAAACTAACACATAATGTAAAAATAAAGAAAACAATTTTCTATTTTGAACCTTGTCCAAAGGCCACACATCGTCACACACTCCCAGCATGGGGTCGATGAAAAAGTTTACATCCTGTTTTTAATTTTGTTTTGTTTTTGATATATTTCTTTTTCATCGGATACACAGTAGAAGTTTGGTTTCCTCTGACCATCAAAGTCATATTATTTAAATGGTCACTATGTCTTGTGTAGTAGAAGATATGAAACTTAAGGTTCAGATAGATGGTGTGGATAATATATATATATTTTTTTAATTTGAATAAGTTTCTCCAAAATATCCTGTGTACATGTAGTAAACTGCAGAAAAATATTTCAAAAAAATATTTTCAAAAATAAGAAAAATTAAAAAAAACCATAATACGCTGTGTAGAAATTACAGAAAAATTCAAAAATCCAAAATGTTTCTAAATAATTTTAAAAGAAAATTTTAAAAAAATTAAAGTTAAATTCAAAATTTCCCAAAGAAATTTCTCCAAAAATCACAAAAAAATAAATAAATAAAAAAAAAGAAAACAAAACAAAATTAAAAACTTAAGCCCAAAATTTAAAAAAATGCAAAAGGAACCATCACTATGATTAACCAAATTAATCCAAAAACCCTAATTAACCAATATTGGGGTTTTTTTCTGTAATTAATACACAGCATATTTTTTTTTTTTTTGGGGGGGTGGGAATTTTGAAGAGAAATAAGTATGTATGACCCACATCATCTATATGAATGTCTAATATTCTCTTTTGTTTTTTCCACGTTACAAACAGTCTTCCGTAATATTGAAACCTGCGTTTATCCTAGTGTGACCTTAGTTTAAACTAGGTGTACATGTCGCTGTCTTGGATTTATACATCAATCATTATGACTTACGTGTTTCTATCGTTTCCATCGTGCTTTTCCCCAATGAATTTAGCTAGCGTCAATGGGCGTGGAGGTACATTTAGTAATCGTTTACAATTTGTCCAAGAAGAAGATCTGAGATACAGGTGAACCGTTAAGTCGCACATACAACAACCTACAGGCAGGCAAGTATCATTGATGACACTAGTAGGTTAAAGTAACAGGCGTGAGAAGGGAGAATACTTGTTTTTACATTATGCGTTGATAGGTTTTAACATTATGCATTAGAAAAATTTTTTTTACATTATATGCAAAAGTTTGTACATTATGCGTTAGCAAAATTTTTTACATTATGCGTTAATTTTTACATTATGCGTTATTTTTTTACATTAAGCGTCAAACCTTTTTACATTATGCATTAACCATTTTTAAAATCCTGACCCCTGTCGGATATGTCAGACCCTTTTTTGGCAAATTTCTGGAGCCACCACTGGTCACAAGTATAAATAATTCAGGCTGAATGGCTGAGCTGTTAAGGCAGGGGTGCTGCAACCTACAGCTTTAATATCAGTGCTGGTTTGAACGGCACGCTCGCCTTTGGTTCTGGTGGTAGAACAAGTCTTCTTTGATAAGGACTATAAACCGTATACCCAGTGTACACAATGGCCCATGTGCACTTTAAGGAACCCAGTACATCTTTCGAGATGAGTCAGTGTACAGACCCATACAGCCCCTGTTGTCTTGTGAAGGGATTGCCACTCTGAAGAGTGAATTAGTTCACTGTTTGGCATATCTTTGGCCTTGTGCCAAATAAGTATAAAATAAGAAAACCATGACTACAGTACAGTATATTACAATAATACAACAATAATTCATACAACATTTAATCTTTCAGCATATGTAAAGAGAAACCACATATTTGATCAGACAACTTTTTTTCAAATTTAGTTTTTAAACTACTGTATAACTTCTGCGATATTCATTAAAAGCTGGTACCTATGTTCAATATTTTGACCATTTCACTCATGATCACATACATAATACAAAAACACGTTCTTCTTAATGATTAATTATGGAGTTCTTCGTGTAGCCATTTTCCAAAATATGAGGTACTGTATACCCTTTCGAAGTAGAATTTGCAGACTTTAAACCTGATCTACTTTACAACCTGATGGTCTTGTTTGCTTAACTTTCAATCTTGTGTGACTCTTTTATTTTAATACAAATAATAATATAAACAAAGACACTGAAATGCGACCCTTTATTTTCTGCTTGACATCATAATATCGCTGAATAATAGGGACACAATCACTCAATAGTAGACCACAAGTATATCAAATTATGTTAAAGCATCAATAACAACTCTTATAAGATATAGGATTACGATTCTGTTATTCGGCTAACTAATTGTATCACTAAAATTCAACAGTGGATGACATTGAATAAACTAAAGCTTAATGATGGTAAAACAGATCTTCTGGTCAGTACTTCTAGAATCCAACAATAATCACCTTTAGTTAGGAATATCCAACTCAATGTTAATGGATCTCTCATAAAGGCCTCTAAAAATGCTCGTAACTTGGGTTTTACATTTGACTCACGCTGGATTTAAGTTCTCAGGTGTGTACGTTACCATGTGTGTAACTTGTGGAGGATTCGAAGATTTGTTAATCAAGATACTTATCATGCAGCAGTTAGAGCCCTCGTACCATCGCGAATTGACTATTGTAACTCACTCTATGGTGGTCTCTTCAAGAAAGACATTGATAGACTGCAGAAATTGCAAAACTCTGCTGCTCGCTTAGTCTTTTCATGTGATCCTCGTACACACTCTGCTCCTCTCATCAATGCACTTCATTGGCTGTGAGTTAATAATCAAATTATTTTCAAAATTATTCTCACTGTTCACAAAGGTCTATGGTTTTTCTCCTATTTATATGGTTTTCTCAACCAACATATCCCTAAATGTACAACATGTTTCTCTTCATCTGTACATTTCATTATACCACGTTACAAGAGAATTGGAGGTTTTTCATTTCCTTGTTATGCTTTTTAAACTTTGGAATAATCTTCCAACTGACCTTAGAGATATCTCTGATCCTAATCGTTTTAAACGTGCACCCAAGACTTTGCCCAAGTCTCTTTTTGCTGCTTTTTCCTTTTGTGTTTTTATTGTTGTTATCTGTTTGTTTATCTTTGTTGTTTGTGTGACTGTACTATTGTGATGCTTCGAGTTCCTGAATAATGACTGATTTTATGCCTACCTACCATTGTTTTCCTGAATTATTGAGGCTTGGCTCATAACCGCAAGGGAAAGGCGCAATATAAATACCCAATACCAGTACCAGTGGTATAACACAGACTCAATCCAGCCAAATCACAATCTCATACATTACAACTCATTTATGCTTTCACATAGCGGAGCTGTGATAGCCAAGAAAGTTGCAGCGGAAATCATATACATTCTGCATTGTACAAAGAATTTTGCCCAAGAACCCCAATTGGCCCTGGTTTCATGGAAGAGTTTTCATATACAATTTTGCATACCTATTTTTTTTTTTTTCAATTCTGTAAGATTTTTCATGGTTCAGTTCATATCTCTTTAAAGTAATTTGAAGGCATTTTGGTTCATTTATCAACAATGCTGTTGTGTAACATAGCCTAAGGGTTTGGCTTTTAATGCTCTTTATTCCAGTAGGCTAAGTTTGCCCATGGACTGTAGGCCAGTTTGTGTATGGATTGTCGGCAGTCTTTAACCTTACACATGTGTTCCCAAGTTTCCACTTTGAGAATTTGTCAAATTTTGGAAACCACACAAAAGGTTAATTCTCATGCCATAACAATATTATTCTATTTTTTATGATGGCATGAAACATCACTCATAAAGTCGAAAATGTTATGACCTCTTGCTTCATTGAAAAAAAAAATTCTCAATACAGCAGTAGTGGTGCCAGCGAGGGCAGGGGGAATTTTCCCCTCCCCCATTGGACAGGCCTGCACCCACCATGCCACGACTAGGTCGTCGGATCAAAAATAAAAATAATAATTTGCCTATATCCAAATAACATTATTTTGATTGCTAATCCCAAATACTTTTGTCTAAAATATGGACCATACTAAGTCATAAAATTTCTCCCGTGAACCCTGTAACAACTGTTAATGTAAAAGACGCATAATGTTAAAAAAAAAATGGTTAACGCATAATGTAAAAAATTTTGCTTACGCATAATGTAAAAACCTATTAACGCATAATGTAAAAACTTGGCATTTTACGATAAAAACTATGATTTGTTGAGCTTATTGCACAAAAACCTTACTTTTCTATCCAAATAGGCCCTACTTAGTTTTTTAACAAACAATTTAACAAAAAATAAAAAAACATTGGTTTTTCCCCCAAAAAGCAAATAACTTTGGTCTTTTTATCCATAAAAAGAAAACAAGTTTCTATTTTAAACCTTGTCCAAAGGCCACACCTTGTCAAGCACTCCCAGCATAGGGACTAAGAAAAAGTTTGCGTCCTGTTTTTTATTTTGTTTGTTTGTTTGTTTGTTTGTTTTTTCGTTCCTAAAGAACAAGTATGGTAATTCTCATGGATACATGGTACAAAAGCGTAAGTTTTGAATAAAAACAAACTATGTTTTTTACGGAATACCAGGACTTTTGTGCGGATTACCAGGACTTTGTGTTTCAAGCCAAAAAAGTAAGTTTGATATTTTACATAAAAAGAAGATTTAAAAAAAAAAAACAACCTTTTTTTTTCTGAAAACTCTGTT